CCAATAGCCTTAGGTAGACTCTTCAAACAAGTGCAAAAAGCAGCCACACTTTTCACCAAAATACCACAAATATAATCTCTAGGTCACATACTGAAATTCTTCTCCATTGAAACCTCTTGAGCCAGGTCTGAGCAGTTCAAAACACTCTCAACAACAAAGTCTTCCACTTTCCTACTACAATAGTCCATTAAGCCCCACTTAAAGAATTCCACTGCTTTTCAAATCCAAAGTCCCAAAATCTATACTCTTACAAACATAAGCATGGTCAGGCCTATTACAATAATACTGCAATCCCTGGTACCAACTTCTGTCTTAGATAGGGTTTTACTACTGTGAACAGACACCATGACCAAGGCAACTCTTTTTAGGACAACATTTAATTGGGGCTGGCTTACAGGTTCAGAGGTTCAGTTCATCATCATCAAGGTGGGAACATGGCAGCTTCCAGGCAAGCACAGTGAAGAAGGAGCTGAGAGTTCTACATCTGAAGGCCACTAGGAGAAGACTGGCTCCCATGCAGCTAGGAGGAGGGTCTTAAAGACCAGACTCACAGTGACACCCTCCCTCCCTATTCCTACAAGGCCACACCTCCTAATAGTGCCACACCTCGGGCCAAGCATATTCAAACCACCACAAGAGGAAAGATTATCAGCTTAGACGTAGTTCTCAAGAAAGACAAAAGTAGCTACCAACTGTTAGCAGCAATGACGGAGGTAAGGTGGACATAAAGGACAAAATACACTCATCTCTAGAAGCAGAAGTGCTCTCTAATCAGAACAAGAGAGCCAATGGCTCTCCAGGGAAGTAAGGCTGTGTGCCCACGGTGTGGAGATCTTGGGATTCTATAGGACAGAAAAGGGGAGCTCTGGGGAATGGAACAGTCCATCTGCATGTCAGTTCCCCTTTGGTAGATCCTAGTGTGGATCTCCTGCTCAGAAACCTCCACAGGTGTCATTGGTCAAGAGACCTCTCCAGTTCAGAGCTTCTCAGTCCACCTGAGGCTTGTAGGCTATTAACCCTTCACCAACCTGATGCAAATGCTCTCTAGAGCAGTAATTTTCAACTGTAGGGGCTACATATCAGATACCGTGCATATCAGATATTTACATTACAATTCATAACAATAGCAAAATTGCAGTTATGAAGTAGCAATGAAATCATTTATGGCTGGGGTCACCACAACATGAGGAACTGTATTAAAGTCTCACATCATTAGGAAGGTTGAGAACCACTGCTCTAGAGCCAAAGGGCCAAGAAGGTAAAACCTTTCATCACCAGGAAAATCAGACACTTTTCCTCAGGCCTCGACTCCAGTTCACAAGCTTCCAACTACACCCCACCCCATATCTGTTACAGCCTAGAGAGTCAGGAACCCAAAGCACAGAGGTACTTCCACCAACAGAGGCTACTTCCTTTAAGACTGAGAGCTGCATTTCTAAAAGGCTGACAGACTGAATGAGAAGGTGACTAACAAGGCTATCCATGGGCATGCGTGTTAATAGGTAGAAGTTTGTGATTAAAATATCTAATTTATAAAATAGAAGACCAGTCACATGGTGTGACTTTATGAACCCAGCCACATAGATCCAACATCCAATGCTAACCGCTCAAACCTTGCCTTGGGGGGGGGGGGGGGGGGGGGGGAAGCAGCCCATGGACTCGAATAAAAGTTTGCTTTAATTAATTTGGCCATAATGATTTGAGCCAGTGGTATTTCTCCTCCCAGCTTTCAGATTAACAGTTGTCCTTTCTGCATAAAACAAACCAAAATGAATTGTAACCATTTATTCAACATATGGCATATGTCTGTCTTTCTGAATAACTATTCTGTATGACATGCAAATATAGAAAGGGCATACCGAATTGGTTGGAGAATTCTGTCATCAACAAAATTATGAATGCAAAAGAAATGTGCAGAAGGAAACCATGGTAAAGACTTATTCTAAGATTTAATATAAAAGAAATTAGGAAACCTAGAAAAGAGATAGAAAACACTCTGTCAACAGCATCAACAGCTCAGAGTAAAACATAGATGCTGAAAGTTAGAGTGAGAGACTATCTGGACAGAGCTTCAGAGAAAACCCAAATTCTAGGAACTGTTTCCATGTAAAAGTGTGAGCTTCACTGACTGTAAGGCACGGTGCTGTGGCTACGCCTGGGGATGCTCATCATGTCCAGCATCAAGTCAAATGCTTCCGCACCGTGAGCTGTTCGACAGTGCAAGAAGAGTGATGTCATCAATACAAGATGATCGATCGGTAACTGCCTGTAGATTAAAGCACATGTGTGTATGCGGGTGTACTTGTGCAGGGACACAGACACACACGCACATACGGGGTGGGGCATTAAACTAGAACAACTAGGTACCCCCATAAATTAGTCAGGTACAAAAAGGAAGTGCAGGTTTAAAATTAGAGCATAATGAACAAGGTAGAACCAGGGCTGCCAAGTGGGTGGGAGGGGCAGGAAATAACGCTTGTTGGTTACTGAGCAAAATGCTGCTATTAAGGATAATTGTGTCTGCTTGATCTGAATCCAGTGTTTCTTAGTCACTGAAAGAGATATTAAAGGAGCAGTGTAATCCTTTACAAATAAACACATTCATCCAGGAAAGCTTCTAACAAATAGGTTCAATCTTAAATGTAATAAAAAGCAGAAGTTAGATTTCGGTGCTTATAATTTCAACAATAACTGCCTCAGGTTTTCATTTTTTGAAATTATGATTGCATCATTTCCCCTTCCCTTCCTCCTTCCAACCTCTCGCAAACGCCCTGCTCGTTCGTGGCCTCTTGCTGAAACTGTTCTCCACAGTGAACTCCAGTGTGTCTGCACTGACTTACGACCCCACCGCCAGTCCCTCCAGCACCAACCCCTCCAGCACCAACCCCTCCAGCGCCAACCCCTCCAGCGCCAACCCCTCCAGCACCAACCCCTCCAGCACCAACCCCTCCAGCGCTGGTCCTCTTTGTTTTGTTGCTCTTTGTTGTTCTTTGCCAGCCTGACTGGAGTAAGAGGAAATCTCAAAGTTGTTTTCATTTGCATTTCCCTGATTGCTAGGGACAATGACTTTTTTTTTCCAGAAATTTCTTGGCCATATTTATTCTTCCTTTGAGAAGTCTCTGTTCAGATCCCAGGCCCATATTTGAAATGGGTCATTTATTTTTTGACTATTTGTTTTCTGAGTTCTTTATGTATTCTGGGTATTGCTCCTCTGTCAGAAGTACAGCTGGCAGAGCATCTGCCCATTCTTTGGGCTTCCAGTTCACTCAGTTGACTCTTCCTTTACCTGTGCAGAGCTTTTAGCTTTATGGGATCTCATTTGTGGACCTCAATTTCCGGGCAGAGGGAGTTATAAGCATTCATGTTTGGGTCTTGGATTCTGTTTCATTTGTCTACACATGACTGTTTTTATACCAGTACTGTAATATTTTAACATAAGCGTAGTATGCTAAATTGCTATAAATTACTTTTAAAATTCTAATAAAATTACAATGAAATTTTAATAACAGAAAGCAGAAAAGGGAGATGTTTCAGTGTGGCCACATGGGAAGAAAGACAGAGGATCCCAAGGGGCCTGAAGTGAGACTTAGTTTTAAGTAGAAGGCCAAGGATTTGAATCTCTAGGAAGTTCCGGCCAAGGCTGGCCCTGCCCACCACTAACCTACAATTGTCCAGCTTCCTTCTCATGCTAGAACAGATCTTAGAACTGTGAAATCTCTTCCTGGACTCAGGTCCCCCAGCACTTCTCCTTTCCCAATAGGAGACTCCTGGGAAAAAATCCCGTATCTGTGGGGGTCCCTTGTGTGGACAGTCAGGTCATCAGTCTGAGAGGTAAAACGGCTGTTCATTTCTGCCTGGCCTATTACAATTCCCTGCATTGTTTTAAGACCTCAGTGTTGAGTTGACATATATCTGGAACAAATGTAATAAACATATATCTGGAACAAATGTAGTAAACAAAATGGTCACAGAGAGCAGGGCTCAGCCTGGCTTCTTTCTCATCAGAGGACCTGGATTTGACCCTTAGCACTGACATGGTGGCAAACAACTGTAACTCCAGCTCCTGGGAATCCAACACCCTTTCCTAGACTCTGTGGATACCAGGCACACACATGATGCAGACAAACATGTAGGCAAAATCCCTGTACACATAAAATAATTTTTTTAATTCCATTTTGGCAAGTGAATGCTACAGCTTATCCGTTCATGCAACCGTAAGTGCCCCCACAGTAGCTCCAACAGGAAACATCCAGCTCCTCACTGGGGGAGGGACTCATCCTCTCAGATACTACAAGGGTCACTGAAAACATCCCCAGTAAATATTCTAATAGGCAGAACTAGAAGGCTCCTGCTGAGCTCCTCAGTCCTGACACATGCACTGCACTGCTCAAGAACAGTTCAGGGTTTCAACTCTTAGGCTAACAACCTTAGAAAACTACTCCCTGGCAAACTATGTCATGATTTTAATATTGATATTAATTTTATTTTTCTGTCATTGTAAGTGCAAAGTTATCCTACACTCCAAGCTGTTTAAACACGCAGACATCAGCAACTCTGCATCACATGAAGAAGCAAGTCTGGAACAAGTGTGGTGTTCTCACTCTCTATCCACCAAACACTGGGAGACACTCATTTTCACTTTGAAGAAAATAGTCTACCAGGAAAAGTATCTCCCTGTTATCTTCAACAGTGTTCACCTTTAATTCTAAAGGGATAACTTCTCAGAAATATTAACTGAAAATAATTAATGGTGCTAATTAAGGAATTTTTATATACTTTTCCAAAAAAAAAGTATTTCTACCACTAACAGTCACACTATAATATCACTTGAAACTCTTTAGCAAAACCATTAAATTTCTACATAATTCCTTGACTAAGATATTTAATAAGAGCCAGGTGCAGTGGCTGAGGCAAAAACACTGTAAGTGCAAAGCCAGCAAGGGCTTTAAAAATGAGACAAAACAAAAATCTTTTCATGAAAGTTAAAGTAAAGTACTTACTGCAAACAGCCCACTCTGACGGCTACGGGGACGTGGGGAAGCTGTGTGGCCCACTTCAGTGCCACATCCTGGTAAATATGCAGCATGTGGTTATGGTTTCCAATCAAAGTATTGATCGTACCTTCAGAAACTGCAGGTAAGATACAGAAAGAAGATAGTAAGAAAAAGGCCATTCAAAATGGAACACTCTGATGTCTTATGGGAGGTTTATCTCACACTAATTGTAATATCTTGATTTTAACACATAAAGGTTTTAGGTGATAAGATATGAGCTTTTCAATTTCAAGAAACCAAGAGCAAAAAAAGAAGCAAATCATTTTATAGACAATAAGTATTGTGATCAGTCAAAGTGTGTGCATTTCGTCTACAAGGTATGAATTTTATTAACATATCACACACCTAAACTAATGACTGACTGACTGGGATGAATGGCAAGCCCTTCTAGTGGACATCACTGCTCTGCTTAAAAAAGAGCAATGTTCTCGTGGAAGCGTTCTTGAATGGTCACACTATGGAGAGCACTCATGAGCTGGAAGCCAATCTACAGGTGATCTTACACCGAGTCCAACGGCTGGCCAAGCCACATGTGCTAATTTATGTCAAATGTCTACTCACACTGTGAAAGTTAAAGGTTCCATTATACGTTCAGTAAAAAGCTGCTTTCCTAGATCTTTAAAATATGTGTCTGAGTGTGGCTTTTTCCAATGTCTGCAAGCATGTATAAAGCATAGTCTTGCAATACAAAAAGGATAACAGAAAATCTTTGCACCCACCTGAGCAGTACGGGAGAAAACAACTGGGGTTATAGTTGAGCTTCTTCATGAATCGAATCTGCCCATTATCTTTTAGGCAAAAGAAGTTTCTCTCACCAAGAACAAAAACAGAAGATGCAGACTGGTTAAAAGGCATGATATGGATATCAAGGGCTTGCTCGCCAATATTCAGAGTCCAGTCTACCTGAAAAGCAAAAGCCAAGAGTGATGCAGCTGCTAAAAACAGATGTGTCCACCACTTCCAACCAAGATGCAATAGCATAGGGTTTAGGATTTTGCTGCAAACAAACACGAAATGCACAGAACACATAAAACAACGGTTTGTAAGTCAAAAAGAAAATAGTGATGCCTTTCACTCTGCAGCCTTTCACTCCGCAGCTAAATGGTGATATGTTACCTCCCGCTTCAGCAGAGGTGAGGAGCTGGATTTGAGTCCAGAGAAACCAAGGCAGCTGAGAGCACAATACATGTAATGAGAAGACTAACCTTGGGAAACCTGTAGAAAGTGCATCTCAAATGTCCTGAGAATTCATCAGCACATTCCCAGAGGGAAAGTAGGGAAGGCCAGGGAACCACCATCCCACAGAATTCCAGGTAGCAGTGCCCACCATCCACACAGGACTGAATCTACACTCAGAAGCTCCCAGTCCTGGAGCACGGGCAGAGCATGCAGAAGGATCTGCTCTCAGGAGTGGGGAAAGTTAGCCAGACAATAGTAGTTGTGTCCTACAACTACTTGTATAAGTCTTGTGTATAAGTCTTTAAAACAACGCTCAAAGAGATCAAATTATTTTCAAATAACTGTATATCAGAACTAAGCTTAGCCTATAATAACTCAAAAACATCTAAAATGTAACAAAATAAAGTTGATTATATCTGATAACAAATAGTAAATTTTAAATTACCAATCATGGAAATAAAACAATGAACAGAAATAAGTCTACTGAAACTAACTCAAAACTGATACAAATGTTAAACACAAAACCAAGAAAAACAAGAAAAACAAGATAATAAGTACTATAAGTGCTTTTAATAAGTTATACAGAGATGCTTAAGATAGAAACACTCAAACTGAATTTACGGAAATGAAATCTATAGCAATGGGCTCCATTCCACTAGAAAAAAATATTAGTGGTCTTCAATTACAGCAGCAAAATTTATCCCAACTGAAAGAGCAAAATTAAAGGACATTTTAGGGGGAAATGAAATATTTGGATGGTAAAAAGCTGTTTGAGGCCCAGGGCTCCATCTTTGCCCTTTGAAAGATTAAGTGGTTCATTGAACAAAGTGAGAAGAAAACCCTGTGATCTGTGGGAGAGTGGAGGGGTTCAGCATAACTGGAACACACCATAGACAGGAGAGAGACACACAAAGATAGTTGAAGAATTGATGGTCTTTAATTTTGTAATTTGAAAATTGTAGATTCACAGATGCAGAAGGCTCAACAAGTACTAAACTTGGAAGGAATAAAGGAAGAAAAGAGGAAAGGAAAGAAAAAAGACATCAGAATCTAAGCTGCTCAAAGTGAGTATTAAGGAAAATACCTAAAAATTAGCCAAAGGAAAAAATCATTATGAACAGAGGAGTGAAACATACAAAACTCTCATATTGAGGAGGTGGTTTTCTGGCTAAATGATATTGCTCAGGGGACAGAGGAGCTTGAGGCCAAGCAGGAAAATCTGTATTCAATTCCCAGAATATAACAAAGGAGAGAACTAACTCAGCAAGCTGTCTGTTGACGTACTCAAAAACACACACATGTGAGTGCACATGCACACACGCGTGTGCATGCATACACACACACACACACATGCACATGCACATGTGGATCTGGCTACACACAGAAACATAATAAACAAACAAGTCAGGCGTGGGAAGGAGACGAGATGGGAAGGATGAGTGTGCCCAGACAGACTATATACACCTGTGTGAAAGTGACACAGGACACCTTAACTTTAAAAGGTGGTCTTAAACCAGTGTTTTGCTAAAGAAACATAGCAAAAAACCTGGCTCCCAATGACATTTGGCTAAACTCATAAATCAATTCATCACTCAGCCACAATCAGAGAAACTACCTTCTGCAGTAGATGGGAACAAATACAGAAACCCACAATTGGGCAACGTGCCAAGAATGAGAGACCCTGGAACACTGAGTCCTAAATGGGATGTGTCCATTAAATCCCACCCCTCAGGTGTCAGGGAACCCTGTGGAAGAGGAGGTTGGAAGAGTACAAGAGCCAGAGGGAACGGAAGACACCAAGAAGACAAGGCCTTCTAGACACAGCATGAACTATGTGCACATGAACTCAGAGACTGTGGCAGCATGCTCAGGGCCGGCACAGGTCTCAGCCAGACGGGCTCCCAGTGCTAAGAGGGGACTGGACACGGACCCATGCCTATCTCAGAGCCTATTTCCAACTGACAAACCAGGGACAAAAGGGAAAGTTTCATCTTCCAGCATGCAAACCAGTTAAGGGTAGGCCCCGTTCCCAGCAGTAGATGGCCAACAAAAAACAAACTCAGTGGCAAGTTTGGAGCTACTTTTGTCTCATAATACTTTGTCTGGGCTTTGCTTCACCTTACAGATATTTTGTTTATACATTATGGTTTCTAATTTTGTTTTTATGGGTTTCTTGTTTTTTTACATTAGCTTTCTTTTTTCTGTTTGTTAGCTTGTCCTATTCTTGTTTTTATTTTATCATATTATTATTATCATTATTATTATTCCTACTATTTTTAGATGTATTTTTATTTTCTAATGAGAGAGACAAGGGTGTAGATCTGTTGAGAAGGAGAAAGGATCGGGGAGGAGGAGGATCAGGGCAAAGGAGGAGGGGAGACATAATCAGAATATTGCATGAAAAATTCTGCCTTCAATTTAAAAAGTAAAAAAAAAAATTATTTGATCCATCATTATTTAACTTAGGTTGATCGTATGTACCTAGAAATTCATCTGCTTTTATCTTAATTTCAAATACATGTACTGTGGACATCCTCTCTCAATCTCTACCCACTCTTTTCTACAACCCCTCCTCCCTTGTGCTATATACACCCCTGCTCCCTTCAAAGTCCTGGCATGTGTGTGCATGTGTGTATGTTTGTGTATGTGTGTACATGTGTATATATGTGGTTATGTATACATACATGAGTATATGTGTGTGTATGTATGTATGTATACATATGTATGTGTGGTTTATGTGTATGTGTATAGATATGTGTATAAGTATGTGAATGTGTGTATGTATATGTGTCTGTATGTGTGTGTAAATAATACACATATAACCTGTTGTATGTTTAGTATTTTATAGTTTCTAGACCAGTAGACAATAAAGATTTTAAAGCCTTAGAAGAAACAAAGAATAAAAGAAAGAAAAAAAGAAAGGAAGGAAGGAAGGAAGGAAGGAAGGAAGGAAGGAAGGAAGGAAGGAAAAAAGAAAGAAAAGAAAAATTTTAAAAAGGAGTTTAAAGTTTTGTGTCAGTTTATAATCTCTGCTATGAAAAGTGGTACCATCCAGCCATTTACAGTTGTAGCAGTGCCATGCTATATTCTGATGCATTACAGCATGTGGACAGACATGTTCTACAGCACAGCAACAGCCAATTCAATTTCTGGTCATTGATAGAACTGATAAAGAAAAATTGTCAAAATACATTTTTTATCTTCTTCCAGGAATTCTGTAACAAATATGATTATGAGTAGCATTACTGAAGTCTATACATCTAAACAGACTTACAACTAGTCGTTTTCCAGACCCAAGTTTTTGCTGTTCCATCTCCTGCTTCTTTTCTGCATCCGTGGCAAAGGCAAGCACTTGGTACCTGTTTGAGGAGACAGCAAAGGATAAGTGACATCCTAAGTTTTAAGGTAAAAATCACTTTAAGCTTCAAAGGCACACAGTCCATAAATGCTACGAACGAATATTTCTTTAGTTCTAAGGACTATATACTTCTGATTAAATTTGAGTGCATTTTATTATGATGGACCATATGAATATTCATCACAAGGTCACTACTGTGAAGCCAGCACTACTGTCAGCTCTCAAGAGAACCGAAGTAGCAAATAACAGGCAAGAGAACCTAGTGCCTGAATACACGTGCCAAAAAGAACGTAACTAACGCAGAACAGCCACTGTCATAGAAATGATTACTACATTCTCTACAGAAGGATTATACCTAACCCTTCCCAGGCACGCCACTGACAGTCAGTGAATTGTGTCAAGTTACTCACCCTGCCACGGCTTCCCGTCTATGAAAACAGGTCGCTAACTGGCAAGGATTTAAAAGCGAACTGTCCTGTTATGCCTAATACAGCACTTGGCATGTACATGCTGCTAATCCCTCGCCCAAAGTGTTTGGGATTAAAGTGTTGAAGAGCTCAGAGGAGGCTGGAAAACATACTCACACTCTACAGTCTCAGTATAATGTAAACTTCCAAAGTGCTGCAAAATGCAAGCTTGGTTGAGCTTGTCAATGCTCAGAATGTTTAGCTAACAAAGTTTCAGACTAAGAATGCTCGAGCTATATTACATTCCCAAGTTTTGATAAAAGGTTTGGGAGACAGATACAGAGACAAATCAATGACTCATTGGATATTTGATACAGTCTCAATACTGGACATTATGAATGATGTATGCAGAGTTTATAGCTTCCATTTCAATGACAACATTTAGCTCAGGCCATTCTTTAAAAATGTATAATATCACTCAATATATAAAGTTATCCAATAAAGTTTAAGTCCCCTTACTTCCCATTAATTAATGGGATATTTTTAGAATGATAACCTTCTTTAAATTAAAAAATTCAAACAAATTCCTTTTCTTCCCAGTAAATCACAGTTATTTATATTGATAAATATAACTTAGAGCTAAGACAAAACTTAGAAACAGATATATTCGGTCAACTCATATCAACTAAGACATGTGAGAACACAAGGCCAGCAGGCTGAGTGAAGAGGGTGTAGAGGCTCTAAACACAGGTAGACAAGCCTGTCCAGGGGCTTGGTGCAGCTTGGTAGGGCACTTCCTCACATGCACGGAGCCTGAGCTCAACCACAGCACAGAAATGTAGCTCTATTCAAATAGCATACACTGCTATGGTTTGAATATGTCCCCCCAAAATCATAATTTACAAACTCAATCTCCAAAATGAGACAGGCTTGAGAAAAGGAGCCAAATAGACAGTCATCCACAGTCGTGAGTGTCAGTGGCTTGATAAATTTTCCCATGGGCCCAGTGGCTAAGATCAAAAACTCAGGCAACAGCAGATGCTGATGAGGATGTGAAGAAAGAGGAACACTCTTCCACTGCTGGTAGGATTGCAAGCTGGTACAACCACTTTGGAAATCAGTCTGGTGGTTCCTCAGAAAATTGGAAATAGTTCTATCTGAAGATTCAGCTATACCACTCCTGGGCATATACCCAGAAAATGCTTCAACACATAACAAGGACACATGCTCCACTATGTTGGTAGCAGCTTTATTTACAATAGCCAGAAGCTGGAAACAATCCAAATATCCCTCAATAGAATAGATACAGAAATGATGAGAAGTCTATCTAAGACAGACGCAGATACTTGCAGCCAACCACTGGATTGAGCCTAGGGATCCCAAGAAAAGAGTTATGGGACAGACTGAAGGAGCTGAAGGGGATTGCAACCCCATAGGAAGAACAACAGTATCAACTAGCCTGGACCCATCAGAGCTCCCAGGAACTAAGCCACCAACCAAAGAGTATACATGGGCTTGTCTGTGGTCCCAGCTACACATGTAGCAGAGGACTGCCTTGTCTGGCCTCAGAGAGGTGCTTGGTCCTGTAGAGGCTTGCTGCCCCAGAAAAGGGGGATGCTAGAGTGGTGAGGTGCAAGTGGGTGGGTGAAGAAGCACCCTCTTAGATGCTAAGGAGAAGGGGAGGGGGAGGGGCTCATGGAGGGGAGACTGGGAAGGGGAACAACATTTGAAATATAAATAAATAAATAAAATAATTTAAAAAAAGGTTGTGAGAGAGTGAGAGAGAGAGGGGAGATGGAGGTGGATGTTCACGTGTCTGTAGCAGTCAAAGGTAGTTGGTATATTTAGGTTGGGTATTGGGTTACACTTCTGATTGTATGGGTATCTTTTACTGATCAATACCAAATATATAAGCCTTGATTAATCTTTAAAAAAAAAAAAGGGTTGTGAACTCTTTTTGTGAGTTGGAGCCCAGCTAGATGAAGTACGGCACAGACTGACTCTGAGGTTTTATGGCATAGCCCCACTTCCTGGTCTCTCTGTCTCTGCTTCCATTCTTTATAAACTGCCAAATCTTTGATATTCTGTTCTAGGAAACAAAACAGACTGTGACATGTACCAGGTCTACACTGTCCTATTGCCTATTGATGGGCAATAACTCATTTGAAACAACAAAAAACAAACCTCAAACATCAGCAGGACACCAAAATGACTGTAAACTAAGTGGAACCTTACAAGAGATAGAAGCCTTACATTCTCAGACACATTTGTTTTAGGCAAAAAGAACTGTCTGAATATATCTGTTTCTTTAATTTTCATCTTAGCTCTAGAAGAACAACACAAAGAACTATAAGTGAATAAGAAGAAAGGGAATCTATTTGAACTTTGTCAATTGATAATTTCATTATTATTCTATCAAACTTATAGTCAACTATAGTAACAGTGAGCTTGAAGTTACTATGAAAGCTAAGCATAGGTGACTTTTGAGAGTCTCTGGATGCCCTGCGCTCATGGATAGGACGCCCAGTATCAGTGGAATGTGATGGCTGATGGCAGAATCAAGTCATTTGGCTCCCAGGGCTTCAGGAAGTGAGACCTGGTATTAAAGACTAAGTTAAACTTTGCCACTCTGGCGAGGAAGGACAGTGCATCACAGAGAAGGAGGCAGCAGGTATGAAGGCATGCACCATGAGGCATGCATGGCCATGGCAGCTGAGGAGAAGGGCACAGCAGAGCCTAAGTCATGTGACAGAAGACCAGTCAGGAAGGAGAGGGTGAGCCTTGAAAAGCCAAGCTTTAAAGTGTGCAACTGCAGAAAATGTCTGTACCTCAACCTTGGACTGACCTTCAAAGCCCCAAAGTTTCCAAAGGTGACCAAAAAAATCAGATCTCAGATTCCAAGCTTCAGTTAGGGGTTTGTTTTAGGAGGCAGAAATAGTGTGCAGATATGACCAGAGATCTCAGAGCTGGTCCTACTATAAATCAATCCTCAGACAAGTAATTACACAGGTAGTTTACTTCCTGAAGACTCCAACCTACCAGAGGATGACAGGGATATTAATGAGATGATTGCAGAAACCCAAAGCTCATTGAGCCCTTTGAAGCTTTTTATATAGCTACAAAGAGTTATTATTCATCTGAGGTCAGTGAGCTCCAGGAGTAGCCTCATTCACATCAGTTCAGCAAGCACAGACACAACCAGCCTTGACTCCCAATTTCCAAATCCAACCCTTTCTCTTCCTGAAGACAGTGGAGAAGAGGATGTTATTACTTGAACAGCTGACAGTAATTTAGATGACAATCAATCCATGACAGTCTGTCTCTTATGGTTCTTCCTTAACACCTCTTAACTGTGACCAAGAACTTACATGACACCCAACAATTCCAAGCAGACTTGGAAAATCTGAAACAAAGAAAGCATGTATCTTTTTCCTACAATTCAAGTGCTTGGTTGTACAAGCTAACAAACAACAGCCCCTTTGTGACTGCTGAAGATTATCCAGGCCCAGGACAGGGAGACACCGTCAAGACTATCAGAAGTGTATTCAGAACTTAAAGGTGCTAACCACAGTCATGGCCAGTTTGGGCATACTGGTGGCATTTTGACCCAATAGCCACAAATGTTTAACTGATCCACGTAACACCAATGGCAAAGGCAGCCACATGGCTTAGTGCCCCGCCATATCACACCATAGGAACTGTGGCATATGGCTGAAATAGGATGGATGTATGACAGACTACAGAAGTTTCCCAAGTCATTTACTTTCCAATGAAACCCAGTTGTCATTTCAAAGAGGACCAGGCAATTTGGTCAATATTTGACTGTAACTGCATAGTGTCCATTTCCACTATCACATGAGTATTCCTATCATGTGGATGAAAATTACTTTCATTTAAAAATACCAGGAACAAAAACAGAACATTTTCAAATTTACATTTGTTTCCATTTCTCCATAAAGTGAATGTGATACATATACCATCAGCAAGGGAGCAAGCACAGACCTCAAAGGATACATGATTCCTGCCATCAAAGAGCAGTGAGCCCAACCTAGAACAAACCCAATGGGAATGAAAGCATGCAGCTACAAGGCTGATGGGCACTCTGGAGCACTAAGAAGCTGATGGGCATCCTGGAGCACTAAGAGGATGATGGGCACCCTGGAGCACTAAGAGGCTAATGGGCACCCTGGAGCACTAAGAGGATGGCGGGCATCCTGGAGCACTAAGA